AATATAAATAAAAGAAATCTCAGAACAAGAGGTGGTCAAATAATTGCATATGCAGACGATATTGCTATTATCATAAAGAACAGAAAAATAATGAAAGAAATGCTTGAAGAAATAAGAGAGAAAGGGGAGGTAATGGGGCTAAGATTAAATCAAGAAAAGACAAAAATATTAAGATTAGGGAAAAAACCAATGAAAGAAAAAATCAAAATAGGAAGTTCTAAGTTTGAAGAAGTAGAATACTTCAAATGCCTAGGAGTTACAATAAGTAAATCCAGAGAAAGGAAATACGAAATAAAAGAAAAAATATTAACAGCGAATAAAGCTTATTTTGCAAAAAAAGATTACTTAAAAGCAAAACACTGACTAAAAAAAGTAAGATGAGCATTTATAACACCATAATTAGACCAATATTATTATATGCAGGAGAAACAATGACGATGGTTAAAAAAGATGAAGACTTAGCAGAGAATGATTATTAGAACCATACTAGGACCAATCAGAACAGAGCAAAATGAATATAAAAGCAGAACAAATGAAGAAATTAAGGAAGAACTTAAGGAAGACATTGTAACTAAAATAAAGCAATGCAGAGTTAGAAGGTCAGGTCACATTTGGCGAGCAGGCGATGAGGCAGTGACATACGCAATGATAGAATGGAATCCAGGAGGAAGAAAGAGAAGGGAAAGACTGAGATCAAAGTGGCTACAAGAAGTTGAAGACCTCCAAAGGACAGGAGTCAGAGAATGGAGAGGAAGAACTAGAGACAGGAAAAAATGGAGAGATATTGTCAAGAAGATAAGATAAACAAAAAGACTGATCCACTTAAGAAATACAATCTAGAAAGCATTTGCGGTTTAACCCCACACTGGGTGTATATCCATTATATATATATATATATATATATATATATATATATATATATATATATATATATATATATAATTCTTTGCCAAGTGGTTAGTGTATAAAGACGCCATCTACTTTGATAACCATGAACGAGAGAACAATTTAATAGTATCGTTTTCTGTCATTTGTGTTATACGAAATGAGCAAAAGTTTACATCTAGCAAAAGTTTACTATCGCTTTGATGTATTAAAGCCAGCATATAGGAACCTACGCTATATACTGGCTTTGATACATTGAAGTGATAGCAAATTTTTGCTAGAAGATGTAAACTTGGTAAACTAATAAGATAAAAAATGGACTTAGAAAAAGAGATGCCCTGGCTTGCCTCCTATTTAATATTGACATAGAAAGGGTAGTTCTAGACACACAAATTAGAGACAGCGGTATTATTTACAATAGATTGGTACAACTCTTAGCATACATTTATTCTTCTTCTTCTGGTTCCTATCCGTTTCGGATGTTGGAAATCATATTGGCAATCATAACCTTGCTCGCTGCAGCTCGAAACAGCTCCGTTGAGGTTTTCTTAAACCATGTTCTTAAATTCCGCAACCATGATATTCTCCTTCTACCGGGTCCTCGCTTACCTTTGACTTTACCTTGCAATATAGACTGTAGCAGGGAGTAACGGTGCTCATTTCTCATAACGTGTCCCAGATATTGCAATTTTATGCGTTTGATTGTAAACAAAATCTCTGGTTCCTTCTTCATTTTTCCTAGAACTTTCTTGTTCGTGATCCTTGCTGTCCATGATATTCTCAGCATTCTTCTATAAAGCCACATCTCAAATGCTTCAAGTTTTTTAATAGTGATGTCTGTAAGCGTCCATGCCTCCGCCCCGTACAACAACACAGAGAAAACATAGCATCTCAAATGTCTCATTTTTGTATCAAGGGATATGTTGTGACTTTTGAAGATGGCGCTCATTTTGTTAAAGACCGTTCTTGCCTTTCCCATGCGGCACTCTATTTCCTGTAAATTGCTCCACTGTTCGTTAATAATAGTTTCCAGGTAACAATACTGTTTTACTCGCTCTATCTGCGTCCCATTAATGTATAGATGAGCCCCGTTTATATTCTCCTTGCTGATAATCATTTGTTTCGTTTTGTGGGTATTAATGTTTAGTCTGTACTGTTGACTGTACTCGTTTATTCTGTCCATTAGCCTCTGAAGTCCCTCTAAACTATCTGCTATCACCATGGTGTCGTCAGCATATCTAACATTGTTTACTCTTTCACCATTTAGAAGGATGCCTTCGTCTATTCCATAAAGAGCCTCGTTAAAAATTTTCTCTGAGTACATATTAAATATCAACGGCGATAGGATACATCCCTGTCTAACTCCACGTAGTATTTTTATGTGATCTGTTTTTCTCCGTTAATTTTCATGTATGCGATCTGATTCCAGTAGAGTTCTGAAATTATTCTGAGGTCTTTGTCATCCAGGTCTGCCTCTTTTAAAATGTTTATCATCTTTTGATGTTGAACTCTGTCAAATGCCTTTTCATAGTCGATCAAGCACGCGTATACGTCGCAGTTAACGTCCCTGCATCTTTGAATCAGTATCTGTACTCCGAAAAGTGCCTCTCTGGTACCCACTGCGTTAATGAAGCCGAACTGTCTGTCCGATATTTGTTCCTCGCACTTCTTATAAATTCTTCCATGGATGACTCTAAGAAACAGTTTCAACATGTGGCTCATTAGGCTGATTGTTCGATATTCTTCGCACTTTTTAGCCCCCCGTTTTTTAGGTATCGCTATGAATTCTGATTCTAGCCATTTATCAGGGATGATTCCTGTATTGTATATTTTATTGAAGATAGCCGTGATCCAAATTATTCCTTCTTCCTCCAAGAGTTTTAAAAATTCAGCTTCGATATTATCAGGCCCTACAGCTTTCCTGCTTTTCATCCGTTTTATTGCTTCTTCTACCTCGGATTTAAGTATGTCCGGGCCCGTCATCCTCTCTGAAACTGGATGCCTATAATCTGTTCTTTGATCTTGAAAAAGTGTCTCCAAATATATTCTCCATTTGTCTTTCATCTCTTGGGTGTCAATGATACATTTATAACACTGACATAATAGGGCATAGCAAGCTAGATGTTGAGCAATATTTCCTAGCATTGGAAATATGCGGCAAAACAAGTGGGTTTAGTCCTCAATAATAAGTACCTGTTGATTACTAAGGACCTTACAGTGAATGAGGAATGGGAAACAGTCTTTGGAAGTCATATCTTTAAAAGTCAGCTTCCCATACCTTGGTTTCTTAGTGACTACTATCAACAAAACAAGCGAAGAAATTAAAAGATGAATAAACATTACAAATAGGGAATACAAATATGGACTCCAACACAATTCCACTTAAGAAACATCCAAAGAAGAACTAAAATTATTATATGCAAAACACTGCTAGGCGGGTCCTCACATATGGGATACAAAGATGGACTCGGATGAAAGACATGAGAATATCCGAATTTAAAATACTCCCCAAAATATTTGGAACTATAAATGAGCAAGGATAGGATGCAAAAGATATAAGTTCGAATTATACCAAATCTTTAATGGACCAGACATTGTAAAGTTCATGAAAACACAGTGACTTAGATGGGTTGGACACAATACAAATGCCAGACAACACAATTGCTAAAAAGCTAACCACAGGAATACTTATAGGAAGAAAAAGCAGAGGCTGACTTCGAATTAGGTGGTTAGGTGGAGTTGAGACTGACTTATGGGGATATTAAAAAAAAAAGAAGATGGTAACAGGTCGCAAGAAACGAAACAGAATGGTGACGAATTGTGAAGTAGACCAGGATCCACAAAGGATTGTTGAGCCAAAGATGATGATGATGATGATGATGATGAAACTTTAAATTCTAGGTTTTCCTAGTGAAGCGATACAATGGCTGTTAAATTTTGTAAAAGATTGGAAGGAGAGAGTTAATTTTTGATTATATTTTAAAGATCATATTTCACTCATAACAATAAGGAGAGTTCGCATACTGGGTTTCATTTTTAGAAAATGTAGTAAATTTCTGATTGATATCATAAAGGTTGTGATACTGCTCTCTTGCATGCTCACAGGTTGAATATGCCACAGTAATTTGGAATCATACCTATGAGCAACACATAAATCTCATAGAAAAGGTCCAGAATAAATTTCTTAGGTATTCTACACAAAAATTGAAAACCTTAACTGTAGATTGTAATAAGAAAGAAAATTTAAGCCTACTAAATCTTGGAACTCTTTATGATAGATGAGTGCAGTTTTGATATGATGTTTGTTTAGTATTATTGTGGCAATCCACTTTAACAATCCACAACATCCTCTCAGAACATTTGAACTCTTTCACATAGGATTTCATTAAACTTTCTGTTTCTTAAATCAATAATTTGATATAGATCCATTTTTCTTGAATATAACTAAATTTAACGCTATTAGTGATATATATTAGATTAGATAGGTTATAAATGTTATTGAACTGTTTGTTAGTTTTAAGAAATTGTCTTTTCTTCTTCTTTTAATGAATTCAAGTGTTATTTTTAATTCTTTGTTATGATATTATTATGCTGTAATGTAATAATTCCATAAATAAAAATAGTATTGTGAACAAATTTTATTGTGAAGAGTTTTCTGTGAGCAAATTTTGTTGTGGGCAAATTTTGTATGAGCAATCATGCATGTGGCCAAATGTCTCGTCACCCTAGCAGGTGTGCTGAGGACTTATTATTTATAATTATGAAAGATGTACAATAAGTCAATTGGTTGCAGTGTTAAAGGTGTAGAAGCAACAAGTTTCAGAGACTTAAACATTTTAATTTAATTCATATAAATTGAATGGTGGCACATTTGCAATGCTTTACCAGACCAAGTTTAATTGACACAATATTATTTACAAAAGACCTGAAATCTTAGAACCTTTTATTGACAAGTTTGTAGAAGATTTTATGAAAATTGTACGACCCCTTTATCTTTTAAAATTGGCATGCAGCTATATTCAGCTTGTAAACTCAACCCAGCATTGCACTAAACAAAACTCCTTTTTATTAAAATAAAATGATAAATTCAAATATTACAATAAGTGTAGTCTTACTATATCTATTTTCCAGTTTTTTGGTAAAGTGTGAAGAACTTCCATCCAGTCCAAGACATTGGTAACTCTCCTTGTTCAAATTTAAGTGAAGCTTACTGTTTGGTGTGATTCCAATGCAGTTATCACAGTCTATTCTGGTATTGATGCTGAGCAAGCTGAGTCTTCCTGAAATATAATATTTTAAAAATATTATTTCTTAAGTTTTATAGACCTACCATTTTGTGTAAAGCTGGATAAAAATTCAAGGTTCACTAAATCTACTAAACTAAAACCATATACTTTATAGAATATGGACTTATCTCTGGAATTGTGAAGAACTTGATCTAATGCAGTTGGATTTGATGTTATGATAGACACCTGTGAATAAACAGTTAAATTAATATTTATTTTATATTGTAAAGAAGGAATTCTCAATATTTATTATTTACTAACTTCATCCTTACCATATAATTATAATGTAAATTATTTATAGTAGAATGATTTATTGATAACTTTCCTTTAAATTTATCTATGGTAAATGAATAATCTGGCGCAATGAAATTAAAAACTTCTGGACTTTCCATATTTCTCCATTAAATTTAAATTTTGAACTTGATTGAACATAACATTTCCTACACATAACCTATTTCTTCTTTTTTCCCAAATATTCATCTTTGTTATTAAATAACATTATATAAAAATCACATTTCTTCCAAAAGTTCAATCATTTTAGAATATTTATTTATCCGGTGTTCTTATGAAATTTGTTAAACAATAAAATAATACATTTTTCATGAGTTAAAAAAATTACGAAACAAATGTAAAAATGTTTTGACAGTTTATTAACTTTATGATTATTATTTTTCTGTCAATAGTGTCAATCATGTGTCAATTTATTTCCCCAAATGACAGATGCAGTTATGTTGGTATGGCAGATGACAGCGCTGATTCTGTCAGGGTTGAAAAATAGAATTTTGGAAAATAAACACATTAGAATTATTAGATTTCTCATGTTATTTTAAAAAAGTAGATTCGTTAAATTCTATAAACAAATATGATAAAGTTATTTTCTCTAAAACAACAGAAAAAAGATGGAGAACCTTCACCTAGACAAGGGAATCAAAAGAAAGCTTCAGCTGCACAATTAAGGATAACAAAAGGTTATTAAAGGAGAAGGATGTAAGTAATCTATTTATTTTTTGATATCTGTTTTTAGATATTAACGAGCTAAATCTTCCTAAGACGTGCACAACAGAATTTCCTGATCCAGATGACCTATTAACTTTTAAATTAGTGATATGTCCTGATGAGGTAAGTTATGCTTGGAAGTTGAAAATTTTGTTAACAAATTCTAATTTTAAACAGGGATTCTACAGAACTGGCAGATTTGTATTTAGCTTCAAGGTAGGTCCAAATTACCCACATGAGCCCCCAAAAGTCAAATGTGAAACCCAAGTATATCATCCAAATATTGATCAGCAAGGTAATGTTTGTCTCAACATCTTACGAGAAGACTGGAAGCCCGTTTTAACAATAAACAGCATTGTGTATGGTCTCCAATATCTCTTCCTTGAACCAAATCCTGAAGACCCACTGAACAAAGAAGCTGCTGAAGTGCTTACTAATAATCGTAGATTATTTGAACAGAACGTCCAAAAGGCCATCAGGGGAGGATATGTAGGTGGAGTTTATTTTGATCGTTGTTTGAAGTGATTGACACATTTTTTGTGTATAATTTTCTTTTACTAAGATTAACATAGGTTGGTCCTAGGAGATCCCAAAAATATTTTTGGATCTTACAATATTTGAATATAAATTTGAATATATTTAAAAAAAATTATTAATCAGAACAAATTTATAATCAAATACTCTGAAAAAATTATCTATATATTAAGTTTTAACTGTGTTTTATATACATTTTCTCTTTGGACAAACCATACATGCTTTGTGCATGGACTTTTCAGTGTTTTTAATCAATTATAATATTAATCAAAAAATTTGTTACTATTCCTTAAAAAGCTTTTTAAAAGACTGAGAAGATTACTATATTGACTATAAACAATCTTCTTCTCAAAGTGCCATGTATTTATGTGTATTTGCCCAATATTTTAAGCTGAACTGTTGGGCAGTGGTAACTAGCTCATAGTATACTATGTACACACACTTAACCCTCTAGCAGGCAAAACTGAAATAATAGAGATAGATAGTTGGGAATTTTTCTCTAGGCAATTATTGGTAACAGAAACTAAAAAAAGCAATAAAACAGGTAAAAAAAGTTTATTGGCTCACTTTCTAGGTAAAAAAAGTGAAACATTCTTAGAACACTTACCAGATTAAGCAAAAAAAGTTGGTTTCAGTAATAATATATTCTTTGTTATATAAAAGTGATAACAAAATATTCATTAGTTTCAATGATGATATAAATAAAAACAATTTTTGGCAGCAGAGTTACATAAATGAAGGTCACATTTTAAACAGAAGGACTGAGTTTGTGACTTTTTGCAAAACTTACACTTTCTTTTTTTATCTGTGCTAACCCATGTTGTGAAGTGATCAATTCTATTGTAACAAACATCTTGAACTGGGTGTTGTGCTCTTCTACCATTTTGAGTTGTGCTTGGCTGAGAAGCACTAGTGACTAATGAAGGTCGACCACATGTATGCTTATCCTAGCACGCACAAAGACCAGCAGCAAGTTTGTCTCTGAAAACAGGTAGCTTTATCAACTTTTCATCTCTTTCTGCTTGTATTCTGTGATATAAAAAGTACGCATGTGTGGTTGCCATATCGACCAAATGGTAGAACAGACATGTCATTGCATCACGAGTCTTTGCACATATGTGATATCGGCCCATAATAATGTCCATAGAATCTACTCCACTCATATGCCTGTTGTATTCTTTTATAATTTGTGGAACATCAATTTCCACAAATGTTTTCTCCTTGCGAATATAACTTGGAGCCTTGGAACACAGCTTGACATCAGTCAAACAGACTTGTTGTCCTTCCATAAAACTCTGGTAATATCGACACCTTGTGAACATCCAACATATTCAATTAATATCCTCTTTTTGCCTAAACTGTAAATACCTCTTGCACGCAAATAAATCAATAACAGCAGCGATGTGTAAAAGTTGTCGAAATAAAGGATATGGTGTCTAAAATTGAAAGTGGTGATCACATTCTTTTTGCTGGCCTACTTGAAGATGTAGATACTTGCAGTTCTGCTTTATTTTCAGCTCTCATTTTATTTTGATGTTCAACATCTACTTTGACTTCATCATAATTTTCGTTATTACCTGTGAATGTAGAAGATGCAGAAGGAGCATCAAAGGCATTTATTTGTAATTCGCCCAGAAATTGATCTGTAGTGTCAGCATTTTCCATTTCATTCAAACATTCAGCAATGACATCTTTTCCATATCACCCACAACAAAATTGGGATCTTTGACACTATCATCACTCTCATAATCCGTTTCTTCATCTGTTTCAACAGAATTCATGAGCTGTTCTATTTGCTCATTCGTTAAATCTTCCAATCTAAATTGCTTTGTTCAATTCATAAGTGAAAAATCCAGCAAGCATTCTTTGAAGAACGCTTCGCTTTGTCAAATATTTTTTAAAACTTTTTTTTCTGTAATCAAACTAATAATCCATTTCTAAAATCAAAAAACAAAAATAAGTTTACTATTTTTTTTCCTTGAAACGGCAAGTGTTTTTCAAAGAACGCTTCACTTTGTCAAACATTTTTTACAACTGTTTTTTTCTGTAATCAAACTAATAATTTTTGCTGATAAAGGACATTTATTTATTTATTTATTTATTTAATTAACGGATATACCATTTTTGTTACCAAAAAAAATTCCCAAGTCGATTGGATATGCAGAATACAAATTATATTATGATACAAAACGTGGTCGTTTCGACAAATAATTATCGATGCGTCTACACTGAATTTTTCGAACAATACTGATAGCAGCGTGCAAACTAAATTTTGGATTGCATTAATCTTTTCAGCAAATGCTAAACACATGTTTACGGACGGAACGGCACCGGTTTAAACTGTAATAATATTAAGGTATAGGTTCTTCAGCTTTCCAAAGACGGGTTCTTTAAAGAACGCTTGCCGGCTAGGGGGTTAAGCTATAAGAGGTGAGAATGTATATTTTTATTCTTGAGCATCAATTCAGACATACTAAAAAACATTGACTTTACCTTAAAATTTTAGTATTGTAGTGGATTGTTTTATAATATATATTTAAATAGAATCACTACACATAACATAAGGCATAAGAATGAAAGAAGAAGGTTGTACAATTATATATAGTTCCAAAATTATATGATTTATGTCTCTAAGGTTTATTTTAAAACTATATGGTGATCTTCTTTAGTTCTTTTAAAGTACCTTATAGACATTTTCTTCTATTTTTTATATAATAAATTGCTCTAATGTTTTTATGCCTTAAAGAACTGTGGAGTTTTAAGTTTTGAAAATACTAACCACTTGACAATCATGTCAATATTGGCTATCAATTAACAATTGATTTACAGGAACTGGTACTGGTGGAAGATTAATACACTGCTGGCATTAAAAAAACTAATTTTTATGTAATATCACTTAGGTAGAAGGATTTAAACATTTTCTTTGTTCTCTTAGAGGGTTTCTTCTTACTACATAGTAATTTTTTCAGTTAACCTTCATTTGATTTAGTAATTTTGTAAAAATAATATTTCAAGATTTGAATGTGATTAACAAAGGAATAAATCAGTTGCTGAAAGTATATTTTTAATTTTATAAATGTTAGTATAAGTTCATGTTTGATTTTTTTAGGTTATGATGTTAGGTAAGCAGCACTCCAGATACTTGTTTTTCTTTTAGAAATATGTGTAATGTTGGTTTTTTTATTTTGAGTTGAAGTTTTTAATCCACGCCATAATAATCACACCTAGTTGAGGATGAACCTATCCCTTTTCACCATTCACTGTTGTACATTACCAAGCTTTGGGAATTTGCTGCTACAATCTTCCTCTCATCTTCATATATGCCATTTTTCCATTTTAGTTTTGGCCTGCCCTATTTCTATTTCCTTTTTGATTTTTTTATTTTTATTAAAATAATATTAAAATCATTGTTTATTTATAACATTTGATGTTGAACAAAAATCTGGACAATTGCTGACATACCTGGACTAAAACTGCTTTGGTATTTACCAAGTAGTTCTTCCATGTACATCAGCAATATACGGCGTTGGAGAATATTTTGTATATTTTGTACTTTTTTATATATAGACGTGACTCTGTCTGTTCTTCAATGTGCCTCCAATTTGTTGTTCTGTCATTTACGTGGTCTTCCTACTGATCGTTTTCCTATTGGGGAATCATCTTTACTACTCTATTTGTTGTCATTCGGCTTATATGATTATCCATTCTACTCTTCTATTTCTTACCCAGTCCTTGATGTTATCCACCTTCCATCTAAGTCGTATATCTGTACTTCTACCTCTCTCCCGTTTTACTATCAATAAGTGTTTTCATATCTGCTGTTTGTGGCATCCTTTTTGTCCTCTCTGTTTAAGGTCGTGTTTCTGCCGCGTATGTCATTGGTCTGATGACTGTTATGTAAGTTCTGCCTTTCATTTCTTTTCCGATATTTTTATTTTTCCATATTGTTACATTCACGCAACCTTTAGCTCTGTTTGCTCTATTCACTTGATCCTTCCACTTCTGTTTTGAACTTTCTGTAGCTAGATAATGCGATTCCTAGATATTTAAACTCCATCACTTGTTCTATTATCTGACCTTCCAGCTACAATTTATATTTTAGGAAATTTACTGCTATAACCATGCCCAACTGTTTTGGGGAAAATAACAGGTTAAATTTTTTGACAGTTGTATTAAGTTGATGAAGCCTATGTTGTAAATCATCTTCACTCAGAGAGTAGTATTGTGTCGTCTACATAGTAGAGTATAAGTAGAGTATAAGTTGTTTTTCTCCCATTTGGTATTCTTTTTTAGTTCTTACTTATTTTATTATTTCATCCATAATCAGATTTAACAACAAAGGACTCTGGGAATCTACCTGTCTTATCCGATTGCCAGCTTCAATAGGGTCAGTTAGTTATTCTTCTACTGTTACTTTTATTGTGCTGTTTTGGTAGATATTATATATTGCGTTCAAAAAAGTTATACCTCTATAATGTTTATATTCCAACAATTCTGCCTTTCTGTGCAGTGGACATATGATTCCAGTGCACCATTTTTCTGTCATTTGTTCTTTCCAGACTATTATGTTGTGTTGATGTATATAGCTAATGGATTTTGACAAGAGCTATGACCTTGTAAATAACAGGTAAACTTCTGTACTAAATTGGCATGACTCATAGCTCTTGTCAAAATCCATTACCTTTAACAGTGTTACACATATCAACGAATATACTTGTTTTGAGAGATTATCTTTATCAAAAAAACTCATTTTAAACTAGCCTAAACACAAATATGCAAATGAAACTTAATGTATCAAAACTACCATCCACAGAGACATGTGAAAACAAGAAGAGTTGTAGGAACGGCGGTGTAAATCCTTTGTACTTCACTTTGGCTGTCAACAGATAGGTGACTCCACTGACAACACAAAATGTGTCGCCTATCTACATGGTTACTATATGACTTATATACCATACCATTTGTGCTAATATAAAATGGAGTTATAAGCG